TACACTTGTATACAAAACTTTGTATTATGCTTGTTATAGAGTGTGTGATGTCACGTGCACTACCGCCGGTGGCAATAGACAACGGTTGTCACGGTGACCGTCACAGCCCTACTGTGCAATGATGTAGTTTCCTGACATCCAGACTTAATAGCATTTTCTCGACATGTTTCCGTGTTGTTGTTGCTCAGCAATGGCAAGGACGCAATGTTGTCTGGGGGTTTGGCAAAAGGAGAGTGGGACTGTGGGCAGTGCTCGGGGTGGTGACTGAAGGCGGTGACTGAGTAGTTCTGATGTCACCTTTTTACGGAAGTCACAACGGTTCGTGAAAAATCACAGCTACTTTATGCAGGCTATGTGCATTTTACTGTGGATTGACTGTTTTGAAACTTATATGGTAGTTACATAACACCTAGACCTCAGTTATCATGAAAAAAGTCAGGAAATTTAAGTTTTGACAATATGGGACCTTTAAGTGCTTAATTTGTGACTGAAATGAGCCAAAACATGTTTGATTTCCATTTAGAATGGCTGGTCTATTCAGTGTCGACATCAAAGTGAGCGCAAGTGTCCCAAATCCGGCCCTCTGTTTCTACATTCTCATTAAAGGACCGCAATCTCACTTTCGCCTCAAATGTCTTTGGTAAGGCGGATTCTCACTGAAGGCAGATTCATTAGCTCTCAGTTCATTCCCACAGAATGGCTCTTCATATAGTTACCTCAGGGACTGGGAATGTCACCTTTCCCCTTTCAAATGCTAATTAATTTTTCTGCTTGAAAGGAATTCACGAGTCAAACTATCAGGAAAGCGCCAGCGCATGACTGTTAGAGTGTCCTTTTGTTTCTTAGGAATTACCTGAGGATGAATAATATCATGTAATTTTAACAGAATGTAAATTGTTCTGTTGAATTAAGTGTGGTTTATGATATGGTGACACTAAAGACATTTATAATTTTTATTTCAAAGTTCTTTTAAACTTTCTATTCATTGAAGAATCCTGAAAAAATGTGATCATGGTTTCCAAAATATTAAGCAGCACAACTGTTTTCAACATTGATAATTATAAATGTTTCTTGAGTAGTGAATTTCTGAAGAATGATGTGACACTGAAGAATAAATTAAATTTTAAAATGTATTAACATATAAAACAGTTATTTTAAATTGCAATAATATGTCACAATATTAATGTTAATATTAATGTTTATTTATTAATTTTAATGTATAAAAAATTAGAAAGGAAAAAAACAAAGAAAAATCATTGGTGAGATTTATTTAAAAAACGTAAAAATAAAAAAAAATTGTCACCCTTGGTAAATATGAGCAAAGGTGGCTGTGAAAATAAATCTACATTGTTTATCCTTTTGATCTTTCATTAAAATAATTCACAAAATGTTAACCTATCATTGAAGTAAAACAATGGCAAGTGGGGGAAAAGGCTCATTATGAAATATATATATAAATTTTACATTTTTTTTAAATAATTTGTTGTTGGGAAACATTAGTGGAATATGCCCATAATTCCTGTGTTAAATTTTGGGTTGCATTGCAAAAATATCTTGATGGGAAGTTTTATTTCTGAAAAAAACTCTAATATCATTTCTTTTGCAGATGCCCCTTTATTAGAGTTTGCATAGGCCACCTGATTATTATCTAATGCAATGACATTCAGACATTTTGAGTAGCTTATGCAGGTATGACCAAATGCTTTTTGGGGCCTTTTTAATTGTGCGGCACATTATACATTCACATCAGTATTTGAAAGGTCTTGTTCATGCTGTTGGAGACGGCCTATTGTGCTTTAATTAAAAGAAATGCTTGACTCAGCAGGGAAAATTACCAACAGGAGGCAGTATTGAGAGTCCGTAGGTTATAATGCCAAATGATGATAATGATTTGATTTGATTTTGATGATTTGATGATAATTAACATCTAGAGTCTTACTGATTCTCAGTAAGATTGCGTGTTGTATACAGTAGCAGCATTCTGTCATTTATGTCACTTGTTACATAATCTAATCCTGTAAATTTAAGCCATGCTCATTTTGAGATCCTTGTCTGTCGGGGTTCTCCTGCCTGATGGATTTTCTCTCCTGGCTGCTCTGTACTCCAGAGGTTTAAGACTTGCCTTTTATAGGATCTAAGTGGATTTGGTGCTCTTCATATACTAACATTGACATTTCTTGCATGTCTGGGAAACAGGGCGCGGGATATGAAAGCGTGTGCAGGCTGAGATCAGTAATCTGAACACGTGTGAATGCAGCTCTCTGGATGTTGAAAGGGTGTGAAGACTCGTTTGGGCCCCTGCACACTGAAATGCTGATGTAAAGGAAGCGGTGTGTTAAGGCTTCAGATTGGAGGCTGCATTATGAGAGTCTGCTGTGGTCCACTGATTTCAGAATTGCAGTGACCGAATGCCACGCGGGAGATTAATTGCTGAACGCACGTGGCTGGAGTAACTCGTTTTCTGCCTAGTCCTTTTTTTCCTGTGAAATTATTTTTGTGTGTCTGGCTATTTGGGAAGATCGATGACATCCGTTATAGACAGAAGACAATAGCTAGATAAGTAAATGGATAAATGCAATTTGGGAACAATAAAACTTTAAACAATCTATCAAACACTGTTGGGTTTTTAGCTGCACTGGTGTAAATAACTAAAACAATCAATTTGGTCTTTAAGCAAGTAAACATTCCATCTTCTGCTTCATTATTTATAGCGAATATTTAAAAGGATAGTTCACCCAAAAACAAAAATTCTGTTATCATTTATTCACCCTCATGTCGTTCCAAACCTGTATGGCTGACAGGTTTGGAGCACAAAAGATTCTTCATTAAAACAACAATTGCAATTGATTGATTGAAAATGTTCCACTGATGTATAAGTTTGAATGCACTCAGCATATGTTAATTTTGGTAATTTTGGTGTTTGTTTGTTTTTTTTCTGTTCCTCAATGCCATGTTTTCCCTTCTTATGCAATTGGTTGATGCTTTACAATATTATCAGTCATTTGCATAGTGTTTTTATTATTTATCAGCATTTAAGAATGCTTTAAATTGGTAAGTGAGAGCAGACTTTTGTAATGTTACAAAAGATTTCTATTTCAGATGAATGCTTTTCTGTTGAACTTTCTATCTATCAAAGAAAAGGGGGGAGGGGGGGGGGGGGTTATAGGGGG